AAGAGTACTAGTCCATGAACAAATATGGCGAGCCCCACAGCCCCCATGTAGTCTCTGCAGTACACAAGCAGTGGTTTGGCATGTACCAGAAGTGTCGAGGGCAGAGAGTATGTACAGGAGCTCGTGTCGAGTCAGTTCCAGTATATGGGTGTGAAGTGCTGAACTGTCTCAGCAGGGGAGCATGCAGCTACAGAAAAACATCAGTCAGTCACCACCTGCACTGCTTGAAGCAACTTAAAACTTTGTCACAGTACTTGGGTGAGTTTGTAGTACTATCTATAATCTTCATTTGCTGTTTGGTGAAATATAAAACAAGAGAAGGTGCGAGTGCCAGGCTGTGGCTGTTTTGTGGAAGTACTACATACCAGTGCAGAACCAGTACATACCGAACTCTGCATCAGTTTGTGAGCTCTGTGCTGAAATCTTGCTTTTATGATTCTCGGTCACGTCTCAATGTATTATTGTTTTTCCTTAATGCATACATATGTGTTATTACAGGTTTATTCTAATCCATCGGACTGCAGACATATTCTGTGCTGACGAACAGATCACTTTTATAGCTGCAGGGCATTTTAAAATCATACAGCTGATTTGCCTTTAAGAAGGTTATATTGAGTCTCTAAACGCCTGATTAGCTTTGAAGATTTTATAGCCTCATGAGCCAGTGTAGCAGAGCACATAATCATTAAACTGTGAATCTAAAGATGGTCCCCTGAATATTTACACACCATTTCCTCATTCCTCCCAGTACAGACATGTGATACTTGATTATTTGATAAGAGTTGTGTGCGTTTCTGCAGCACTTTTCTCAAAGAAAACACACTCATTACAGTTTAAACTCAACACAGTCTGCTGGCAGCTCATGTCCTCTCTTATTGCCATAGCATTCATGGTGTTGCTCTTGTCACAGATTATATTGCATTATATCAATTTGGCAAACCTTTGTCAATGCAACTTACAGCTTCTTCTATACACACACATTGGGAGCAATTGTGTGTTCCGTGTAAACAGGAGGACCTGAGAAATTAACCACCAACCCTTCAATTAATTTAGTTTACACATCACAGTTTACGGGTGCTACCGCATATGTGAAAAGTAATATAAAGCCTTTTGTGGCTCCAAAGGGGGCTTTCGTGAAGTCTGAATAGCCTCAAGTGACATCAGTTGAGGCAACGTTGGTTGGTTAAACTTAAACTGTTTCACAGTGAAATCCACAAAGAGTTCTCTTTACTTGGAAACTTATTGTGAAGCAGCTGCGGGAACGGGTGAGTCTGCATTGCGTTATACTCAAACTTGGCTTACGTTGTTGAAATAATAAACACACAACTGTAACATAGCTGTTTAAGCTATCTCTGGTACAAAACAACAAATGGTAACATTTATATATGATGTTGTACACAGCCCCTTTCAAATAAATGTAATCAATAAATTTTATTTCTTTCCCCTGTCCTATGCACTTTTTTTTTTTTAAACAAACTCAAGCTTTTAATTTGCTTTTAGATATTTTTGTCTGACGTTTTGCCATTTTCTTTATACCTAAGCCATAAAAGAGACATTTCCAATCAGCTACAATTCATTTTAGTTGAAATGACAATAAACTTGAAAAAACATTTTGTCAGCTTGTTTTAAATTGACATTGGTAGAGAAAAGTCGAAACGAACTCTGACACTCCCCCTCCACCCCACTTTACAGTACATTTTGTAAATGTCTTTGCACATTTAAATCTAATGAAAATAATTTACTTTTCACTGCACAAACTGCCCTATTACACAAAGGTTTTTATTCGTCTATATTTTTATATTTTGTCAGTTCATATGTTTATATAAATACAAATCCTCTCCCCCTGTAAATATCTGCCACATTGTTTATTTTCTCTACACATAGTTCTATTAGTATTTTATATTTCTAAGCATCTGTTTATTCCATATTTATATATTTATTTATGTCAACTGTTTGTCACCATAGCAAATTCCTTGTATGTGTAAAATACTACTTGGCAGTAAATCTCTTCCTGATTCTGAGAACAAAGTCTTACCAGAGTGGCTCCCTGAGAGTCCTGTTGGTTGACCTCCTCTCCCTGTCTCAGCAGTTCCTGGATGTCTCCCAGCATCCTCCTCTCTGTAGACGCTCGTGTCTCGTTGATCATCTCCTGGGTGATGCCTGTCAATCAAATACACAAGCAGAAACACAACATTATTTCCTGCCAGCCTTAATATACAACTGCAGCATGCTGACAGGGCCAGTTCAGAGGGCCAAAGCAGAGCAGCTCAGGTACTATGGGGTAGGGACACAACATGGCATGTACATAAAACTAACTTGAAAATGTGAAAGAAAAAGAGAAATTTTCTAAATTGACAGAAATTGTTTTTTAAAATTACACTGGGTGTTTTTATGGATTCCCCTCAGCAGGTGTTTAGCATCCTGAATTTTTTGGTACTTTTAGCAAAGTATTTGGTTCGCAATTATAAAAAAAATAAATGGAATAACTGTTTTGTCTAAGTGGTAGTCTTCATGCTGGCTTTCCTACCATCTCTTGGCAAAGAGTTCTGTAGTGTTGGGCCAAGTTGAAGCTCAGGCAATTCTGTACTTTACAGCTACTCTAAATTCCTCCTTTAATCCATCGCCCTGCTGCCAGGTAGGACTCAATACTGTCACCGCCACACTTGATGACTTCTCCCACAGCTCAGCAGAAATATATTGTACTGCACTATCCAGCAAATTCAAATAAATGTCCGATTAACAATAATGAAAACAGCCTGTCAGTCAGAACATTTTAATATATGTATCACTCGAGGAGGTCAACTATCCTTTCAAAAGGACAGCAGCTGAAAATGAAAGCTTAAAGTTGTAATATTCAGAGGAGTTGATCATTTAAATATACTTAAATATCTTTGGTGCAGTGGTTAGCACTGTTGGTTAGCATTGTTGCCTCACAGCAAGAAGGTTGTGGGTTCAAACCTCCGTTGCCCCGGCCTTTCTGTGTGGAGTTTGCATGTTCTCCCCGTGTCTGCGTGGGTTCTCTCCAGGTGCTCCAGCTTCCTCCCACCGTCCAAAGACATGCAGGCTAGGTTAATTGGTGTCTCTAAAAAATTGTCCTTAGGTGTGAGTGGTTGTTTGTCTATGTGTGGGCCCTGCGATGGACTGGCGAACTGTCCCCCGCCTTTTGCCCAATGTCAGCTGGGATAGGCTCCAGCCCCCCGCGACCCTGTACGCAGGATAAGTGGTTGACGATGGATGGATCTTTTTTGTGGAGTACGGAGGACAGTCCTCTGAAACGGACTACTTTTACTTGACATAAAAAGGTAGAAGTAGAAAGGCATCACCTGACAGTCAATATTTCAGCACTGCGACCTTTCCCGTGACACTGAGTTATAAATTGAACCTGTGCAGGTGCACTCAGCCAACATTACATCCTCCAGCGCGCCGTTTTAAAGTCAAACTCCTGTTTCAATGTCACGTTCTTGTTTCAGTGATGGCCAGTGATTGTGGCGAAAAAAGGTGAGAAGGTTAACTGGGACTTCTCTCCAAATTGACAATCAGAATCACAGCTGCAGGGTGTTTTAAGGCGCAGGAATCAGAACAATGACAGTCCCCTTTGTCGACTTAAATTAAATGCATCCCTCCAGCAATTTCCTTCATTTTCTGTTTTCTGTTCTGTTGTTCCCCTTCTAACCATTGGTCTCTCTGATACTAATGAACAATTTGTTTCTGTCATGTCTTGATTTAGCTACAGTGCTAACAATGCTTAACAATGCCCTAAAGGATTTAAAGATGTAAAATACAGTAAACATTACTCTTGGTCACAGTATCTAGTGTAGTAAACAGAAATACTGTGAATATATCACATAAATAATGAAACAAGAAAAGCTATTTTTAACCCGGAAATCTGACCGCTAAGGAACAAACACTGGTGGAACAAAAGTACTCCCAATTAGGGTTGTGTATTGTTTACAATACCAGTACCAAAACCAGTACCCTTAAAGTGATACCAATACCAACTGAGTACTCATGTTAAACCACCTGCTGAAGCCATAGTAGTTGATTGGTAGCCTATTATTATTTTTATAGTTGTTAAGGACAAGTAAGGTGATTTTTTTTTTCTTTTTTCAAATAACTGTTATATAAAAATATTGGGAGATTGTTTCAGCTCCTCCTCATCCTAATTAGGTCATCCTCACGGGTAGTAGCCTATATGGGAAAAGACTTGTGAGTTTTTTTGTATTTGAATGAGAGAGAAGTGAAATAGTTTAGTGACCAAATGAGTTGTGGGAAACAAATTTAAGTTAATTTTTTGATACGTTTGTTTAAACACAGGGAATTATTTTGTTAACTTTCGATCAATAAACTGAATTGAAAGATCTCCGCGAGTGCTTTTTCCTTTTTGTGGTGAGTCGCAAACCTCAAAAAAAGACGACAGTAAGAAGTAGAAAATGAGTCATTAAACTACACTAAAGACTCACGTCCAGCCGATCACACCACCTACATCTGAAGAAGCCGCAGCTGCAGCCGGAGGCTCCGTGAGTAAAATCAGCTGATCGCTGTTGCGCCACCAATGCATTTAATTGATGCAATCAAAACCATACAAATAGTATTTTTTTACTGCGATTTGGTTATAAAAAGTATTGAATGGAGGACTGGTTTGACTGGAGATGTTTTGATACTACTCAATACTGGACTGTTTTGGTCGATAAAATAAAGGTATCGACTAGCGATACCTATCTCTATTGTACACATTTATTTCATCTCAAAGGCTACTGTAATGCGCTATTCTCATCACTTATTAATCCATGGACCATGGTCTCACATTACCCCTATACTTACCTATCTCTTCGCTGGCTCCCTGTCACACATAGGATCCAATTCAAGATTCTCACTATTACTTTAAGAAATGAAAAATATAACACTATTTATTAAATAGATACAGTATTTCAGTGTATAGTCTTGTTTTTTTTCTTGGCAACCTTGTTAATTGAGTAGATGGAGTCTGTTTGCCTTTGTAGGACAGCATCTACACGGATACTGGAGGTGCAGTGGAGACGCCGGGGGCACTCAGCTCCTGCTCAGCACCACCACAGGCAGCCACCAAAAACAATAGAAAATGTCTTATTCACTCCACACACTCTGAGTGAGTATGTGCCCTTTTGTCCACCAAACAAACATCTTCTGTCTTACTTCAACCTTTCCAACATGAACTTAAATCTCACACTCACACAATTTTGTTCTTTATTTTGCTTTTCTATCAGGATTTGCCCTCATTTTCTTCATGCAGTCAGTATGTATTAATATTAAGTGGGGGTGTTTCACTGATGATTTATTGGCAACTAAGGGTGTTAAAGGTGGGCTTGGTGAACAGAAGCTTGGTCGCCTGCGCCAAATTTCGAGTTGATTATGATTTATAAAAGGAAATTTTTTGAAGTGAATCCTATGCAGTTTTACAAGAGACTCTTGATATGCTGTTCCCTATTATTTTGGAGTATGAATTAAAATTTTAAAGATTTAAAGTCATAAATGATGTTTGTTTTGGGGGGAAATTGCATGACAGACTGTTGGCCCAGCTTTTTCCTTGTATCTGCTTCCTTTCCTTGTATCTGCTTCCCCTTGGACATATTATCCATAAACATTGCGTGTCTTTTCATATTTACGCTGATGACACACAAATATACTTGCCCATCAGATCCACAGACCCTGGAGTGCTGAGTTCACTTAACAACTGCCTTTGTGAAGTTAAAAAATGGATGTCAAATAATTTCCTCCAGCTGAACTCAGACAAAACAGAAATCCTGGTCATCGGGTCCCAGCAGATGGCAAATCAAATACTGCCATCTGCTGGTTCCCTAGTAAATCACATTAAGCCTGTGGCAAAGAACCATGGTGTTTGGTTTGATAGTAATTTAAATTTTGAGCAGCACACCACAAAGCTTGTTCAATCATGTTTTTATCAACTTAGAAATATAGGAAAAATTAGACCATCAAGGACACCGAGACCATTTTACATGCCTTCATCTCATCACGCCTGGATTATTGCAACAGCCTTTTCACCTGTTTAACCCAAAAATCTATTGATCGACTCCAGACTGTCCAGAACTCAGCTGCCAGGCTTTTAACCAAAACAAAGAAATATGACCACATTACTCCTATTTTAGCTTCATTACACTGGCTCCCAGTATGTTTTAGAATTGACTTTAAAATTCTATTGATCACTTTTAAAGCTCTTCATGGCCTCTCGCCTTGTTATATTTCTGAACTTTTAGTCCCATACACACCAGCACGTACCTTGAGATCCTCGGGCAGAGGTCTGTTGTCTGTTCCAGAGTCTCGACTGAAAACTAAAGGGGACAGAGCGTTTGCTGTCAGGGCCCCGAGGCTCTGGAACAGCCTGCCCGAGGAAATCAGGTCAGCTGAGTCAGTCAACTCTTTTAAGTCCCTTCTTAAAACATACTTTTATAGGAGAGCCTTTCCGATCTTATTTGACTTTATTTTATCCCTTTTATTTTATTCTATTTTACTAATTTTATATTTATCTTAAATGTGTATTTTAGTCTTTTCAATGTTTTCATGCTTTTATCTTGTATTGTTTTTGTATTATTGTCTTTATACTTGTAAAAGTACTTTGTAACTTGTTTTTGAAAAGTGCTCCACAAATAAAGATTATTATTATTATTTTTATTATTATTAGAGTGAGCATTGCTATTTAGCACACACTCATTCCATATTAGTTTTGCTCACGCTTCCTTCCCTTTTCACCAAAGGTTGTAGCTCCAGGAACGACCAAGATGATAAAGAGAAATCCAAATCGAATTAGGGCCTCAACTAAGGATTATTTTGATTACTGATTAATCTAGTGATTATTTTATCTATTACTACCCCGAGCTCAATATGACGCAAAAGTCTTGTTTTGTCAGACCAAAAAAGATATTTAATTTACAATCATATAGAACAGAGAAAAGCAGCAAACCATTACATTTGAAGAGCTAGAACCAACAAATGTTTGGTATTTTTATAAAATAAATTACATCACAAATTCCACGGCCATGTTCATCTTTCTTGAACTGGAATTCTTTATCCCTCAATCATTGGGGATACAAAATGACAGCTGTGTAGCCAGTGGCTTTGACTACTCTGCATTCCCCACTCTATCACCGGTTCAGTTCCTGGTAGACATTTTCCCCTTATCACTGCAGCTCATCACAGATGGACTGGGCTCTACAAGGGAGGATCAAGGAAGCGTCAGATCAGTCGATGCTGCATATGAAGTGCCGTGTGTTTCTTTGTGTGAGTGTAAGAGGGAGAGACAGAGACAGAGAGAGAGAGAGAGTGTGTGTGTGTGCTGGTGTGCCCATCCCTGTGGCGTCTCTGGAGAGTGAAGTCTTCTCCAGCAGTACAGTGCCGAGAACATTACGGAAACAATTAGCAGCGCAGCGCTTCTTTTGATCGGCTTAATAATCATTCTTCTCACCTACTGTACCACTATCTGCATTCTGCGGCTTGAGAGATCCTATTGTAAGCTGAGAACCTCATTTTTTGCGGTCTCAGTTTTCCCTTTTCAAGCCCCCACCCTCTCTCTCTCTCTCTCTCTGTCTGTCTGTTTCGAATATTGTCTCAAATCCAGGATTAAAACCACACAATGTGATGTCCTGTGCCCTATTTGCACTGTTAAAACTATCAAAATCATTAACTCTGCACTTGTTTACAATAAAGAACTTATCATAACAGGACTTTTTGTGACCTTTACTTATTTAAGGAAATATGACTGAGCACTCATGATGCTCCAGCATCACCTTCCTTCCACACAGTTTTCTCCTGTTTACTAGTGAGCAGTTCCACTGAAGCATTTGGGATTTAACATTACGCTGAAGGGTCCTTGTTTGCTGCTAATTCTCTACCATGTTCACATGCTAAACGGACAGCAACCCACAGCCTTACATGTAAATATACCGATGTGCACAGACGAATAGGATGCTAGTCTGGTTAGCTGCAAGTTCCCCCGAAAATAGATCCCTATAAAGTCTTGTGCTCCAGTAGTAGGAAAACCTCATTCAAAATCCCACTAACATTTGTAACAACGCTACTACAGGCTAATACAGCCTTGGAACAGATCCTTTCTCAACAGTATGTTATGTAGCCCGCTTCTTATGTCTATATATAAGGAAGGTAATATTGTTGTTTTAATAGTTCTTTTTAGAGGCCTTTAACAAAAGCCTCAGACCTTCGCGGGCTAAACGTCACGGCTCAACAAAAGAACTGAGTTCATGGGCTGCAGTTAGAGGTCGAACTCTGAAAGTTTTTACACAGGAAAGAACAAAAAAAAGTACAATAGAAGATAATTTTATGGATATAGACAAAACAAAGTTACAATGACCTGAATATCCACGCTGCTACGGGTACAGGTTAATCAAACTGTAAAAATGACAATTTGCCATTTTACAGGAAGTTATGTAAAGTAACTTTCTTGAGTCTCCGCTGGTTGCCTGGCAACTGCACCCTGCTGTGAAATGGTCCACATAACTCCCTGTAAAACAAGAAACACCTAATTGTAGTTTTTGAGAGAGGTCTCAATCTTCTGATCAAACTCCACCAGAAAGCGAATAAGCATTTTTCACCAAAATGTTAAACTATTCCTTTAAAACAACCACATTTCGGCAGCCAGTCTATACATTCATACTGCAATATGTCTCTAAACCCAAAGCCCCTGCAGCCACAGATGATTTTACAGCTTTATTGCCAACTGTGTGCTCAAACGTCTGTCTGTGGATGTAACTGTTTACCAGAAAACAAAAGCAAAACATTGGCAAGAGCTTATGTTAAGAAGGTTGATTGTGATTTAACTCCAGTGTCCATAAAGCTGTCTGTCACCTCGACTCTCTTTGTGTCAGTTTTTCCTTGTATCGCACAAACACAGACACAAATGCACATCACACATTTAAAACACAGCGTGAGAATTTATGGGCATTCACATGCATGTCAGCGCTGATCTCTTTGAACTCTTTCTCAGTCGTGTCACACAGACCAAGTACGTTTAGTTTACAGTGACACAGCATATATATACAGTATCCCAATCTGCCTCCCGTCAGGAGTGAGCGACCTATGTATCTACTATATTTCAAAGCACCCCGAAGTGTCAATCCTGAAAATGTGCAGGACACCATGTGCTTTCTGAGGTCACAACCCCGCTGCCATCTTCCTCAACAATCTCTTCCTGTGGTTGACATACCTTTAAGACTGTAGGATACAAACCACTCTTATCTTGCTGCAAATGTTAAGGAAACTGTATACTGTATGTTGAAAGTAAGGAAAGGGTTTGGGGTTCAAAGACAGAGAGAATTGTGCAATATTGAACATTAGCTAATACCCTTCCCGTCTGTCTCCACATGCCAAAACTGTGTGTATGGAGCTATAGTAAGACTGGTTTAGAAAAGTCTGAAAAAATATCTTCCAAACCTTCAAAGTGTAAAGACTGGATTAAACAGTGTGTTCATCTGCTCTAATGTAAGTTGCAACTGTAGCAAGACCAGCTAATTAGCTTACTGCCTGCAGTAGTAACAGAGCGTTACTTTCAAAGTTGTTCTCCAAAAATATTAGTTTGTAGGGTTACAGGTTATGTTAAATAAATAGCCCAGTTCATCACTAGCAAATCCATTATGTAGTATTTTCTCACTGTGTGGAAGCTGGTCCTCGATGCTATCAGAGTTTATGCTAACGTTTAACGTTTAGCCTGGGACATGCTGCTTTAGCCTCAGTCTTTTAGCACAATATTACATAGGAAGCCATGAAGAGCATATTTATGATGATTTTTCCATGATTCTTGTCTACTAACACCTCTAAGCTTGAAGCATAAAAAGTCAGCAGGAGACGGCCTTTTTTAAACAACTCACAGAGCTAACATTGGATCAATTAGCTAGCTAGCAACAGCAGATGCAATCTGGCAGTGACAGTTGGCAAAAATCAATGCTAGAAATAAGAAACCTGCATTTGTTTACCTCTTGTCTGAAAACCAGGAGCTATTTTTTAAAAATCCCTAAGAGTTTTGACTGCTAAACTTGACACAGTTATCATTGTAACCTGCATTATGTGCAGAGCAAGAACAAGAACAGAAACAGCTTGCTTGACAGGCGTAGAAGAGTTACTAAGGCGGGTGGAG